CCTCTGGCCCAACGTGCAATGAGCTGTTCGTTAACGTTGGTGATTGACTTTCAGACTAAAAGCTAGACAATGCACCGAGCAGAATTAGGGACGTTGAAAGGGATCTTGTGGGGAAATTCCCCCTTTAAGTTAACTCTTTGATCCAGCGGGGAAAGAAGTCCAGGGGTTGTTAGGGAAGGGGTCATGCAGGCTCCTTGGCACACTGCACACTGGCTGAAGATCCATTCTGTTTGTCCCACAGGGAGAAGCTCTGGGCATGTTTCTGCTGGAGCTGCTGCCCAAAGGCTCTCCTGACTGCCGGCCTGGAGTGGCCGCCTAGGACAGGGTCAGTCCTCAGTGGTCAGGTGTGCATACGGTGAGCAGAGGCAGGCTCCCACTTTCTTCTGAAGTTCAGAGTCCCTTTAAGAAGGCATTATGGAAAAAAAAAAGAAGGCATTAAGGAAACAAATATTTAATAAGGTCCTTATAAATACTGATACTCTACTTTTATTATCTCCTTTGCACAAGCAGAAAAAGGCTTTACGTATGTACTGCCGGGAGAGGAAAGACACCGAGGTCATTAAAGAATCGTGCTTTAGTGTGCCTCGGAATTATTTGTGGAGATTTTTAAACGCATATCTCCAGGCCCATCCCTGGTGTTTCTGATTCTGTAAGTCTAGGTTGAGAATCAGGAATCTGCCTTTTTCACAGTTCCCCAGGTTATTCTAATGCAGATTATCTGGAACCAATCTTTGAGAAATATTGCTGTAAGTTTAGATGACTAATTTCAGGCTCTGATGGCAGAAAACTAAAATAGAGCTACGAAAGGCCTTAATAGGATTGTCAGATAAAATACAGGAGCCCGTGTCTGCATTTCTTTGCTAAATCTGGCAATGCTAGACAGGACTAGGCCTAGGAAGGAAGGATGCGGGAAGCCTGAAGACATGTTTTACTTGACTGCATACTCATCTCATCTTTGCTTGCTGCTGCTTCTGATTTGGTTCCTAGGTACTTCAGAGAGGATCGAACGAGCCTATGGTGAGTGCCAAAAGCACCTATGATTAAGAAATTAGAAGAATTGGGATCATGTTTCTGGAATCAGATGCTAATAAAATATAACTGTCTCTTAGCCCTTTCTGTCTGTGTAGTTGGAAGGAATATTTAACGTTCTTGCCACCAAGCCTTAATGCTCATTCATGAAGCAGGGGAATTCTGATAGCAAAGGAAAATGAGAGCTTGCAGCAGGCTTTGGTGAAGCATAACACATAGCAACAAAAAGACCCAAACAAGTCAAATTATAGACTGTACCACACATGTACAATAACTGATAAGCACTCTTGTGGGTGGTTTCATCTGAAATTCTCATGAACTCTGTAGCCCTCACCGGCCCACTCAGCACTTATGGCTGATTCATACCCAAGCCCTTTTGGCTATGCCATGTTAGCAAGGATGTCTTAGAACCTCGTCTGTGAGCAGGAAGACTGCATTTTCTTTTCTTAGCCACCGGTTCTCAATGTTCTGCCAAACTCATGTTGTCACTGGAAAGAAATAAATACATTTGAATGGTCAAACCCAAATGTCACTAGGGAGGCCTTGTAGCTTGAGTTAGTAGAAAATGAAACATACCATGATGTCTCTCTAAGATGTAAGGAGTACACGTCTTCATATATATATACATATACACATGTATATATATGTGTGT